TGTCTTTATTTGTGCTTCCTGGCCAGTTACCAAGAGCTTATAGTAATACTCCATAGACCTTTTTTAGAAAATTAGTTTAATACATTTGACACTTTTCCAGTGAAAAAACTATTCTGTGAAAAGCCTGGTTGCTTACAGGACACTAAGCCTCACCCATTTAGATCCTTTTATACCATTCTAGTCATAAAAAGTCACCTTTACTTTCTCAGGCTACAGTAAAATAGATCTCACAGAATTTGGGGGTCTTCAACCTGCTGTTTCTAGCTCATATTTCTCAGACTCCTGTGTCCTTTTTTGGGGATGAAGCAATGCCTGGTGAAATCAACAAGAGTTTTGACAACAGTCTCGGCTATGTACTGAATTAGACCTAGTGCCTCCAATGAGGATTGGACTACAGAGGAGACCCTTGTAGTGTAAAAGTTATAACCAGGGACTGACATGTTCTTGTAAAAATATGGAAGGGGTCTGTGTTTTCCAGAGATAATGAAAACTGGAAAATTACTTCCTCTTTTCCCACCAGTTTTTCCATACCCACACTCATATGTGCATATGTATTTTGACAAACCAATCTAGTATCCCAAGTCAATGAGTTATTGACAGGCTGATGACATGAATATTCACAGCTTTAAATCACTTTTTCTTTGAGAACATTTAAATAACTGCATTTTTGCTCAAGGAAATCTTGACTTTAAAACAAAAAGCTTGCAGGAAACCCATGTATTGTTAGTTGCAAAAGATGGGTCTGCTGTGCTTTTCCACACTGCTGATCATATATGACATCCTAGATAACTAGCAGATTTGATTTTATAATCATGTTGTGTGAGGAATTTAGACTGAGTATTACTTGTAATTCTGTCATCTGTCTCTACTGTTTCTTTGTTAATGTCTTCAGCATTCTTGATCTGTCCTCAATCTTTCACATTTTGTACTATGCTTTATTAGTGTTTTCCAAATATTTTAAGTAAAAAAAATTCAAGATGAACAACAGTCCTTCCTCGGGAACTAACTGAAAACCAAATGGTCTTTATTGATACAGCTATTGCCTTACACATCCTCTCTTTGGAAATCCCTGTTCCATTGTATGCTGTTGCTTCCTCGTCCCTACATGCCTTGATGAGTAGTAAAATACAGTATTAATATTTAAACTATTGTCACTGATGTGATTGATGGCTGAGTGAATGACTGACTGAGAGAGATTTCTCCTCAGAGGTGATTTTTGGGGGGCTCTTTGCAAATTCAGGGTTTAGTGATGGTTATTTTTTGTATCAGTTACGCTTGCCATGCATTTTTGAGTTTTGCTTCGAAAACATAAATGGGCCTTTTCTTTTCATTATAGTTGTCATTGTCCATGACCATCCAGTGTCTTGTCCTCCAGCTGCCCCAAAAGTTTTGTGCAGCTCTTCAGAAATAACACTTTACTACATCACAGCATTAAATACGAAAAAATGTCATTCAGAGCTTGCACAGCCTTTAATGACAGTCACAGACTGTCATCTAGGGTGTATTACAAGTTTGGATAAGCTTTCCATATTGTAGATTCACCGTTTGTCACAAAATTTTATTTTCATTGATCTTACAAAAAGCTCTGTGCTGGTCAAGAAGTCTGTTGACACAGTCCCCTTTGCCTGTGTGGGCCTTTGAGCTCATTACAGGGTGAAGGGAGGATCATGAAAGCAGAGCTTCAGAAAACATTGTAGTTGCCAAATAACATAGCATTTCTAAAGCTGTTCTGTGTCTTACTGTGGGCCTCTGCTTCAGATCTGAGCTTCCACAGATTGCTGTCCACACCAGTCTTTCATCAATGTAGCTGTGACAATACAGAAATTTTAGAAGTACTTATTGTTGTGTCAACATAGAGGAATCCATCCCATGTAGGAACTGCAATAAGAGCAGAAAGTAGATAGACCCTTTTTCCTGAGGTTACTGTCTGAAGGTATAGACTACAGAAGGTAAGTGGATATAGAGAGATGGGGAAGCAGAAAGAAATGAAGTTACAAGTGCTTATTGCCTAGCACTATTGTTGACACCTTTAGGTAGGTTTCCATTCTGAAATCTGCCATAGTTCCTCCAGCTTGGTCAACAATCCCTGGTTGTTTCCAGTGTGGCTTTGCTGGCAGCAAAGGTGCTACCACAGAAGATCCTGGCCTGTTCTTCAAATAATTTTGTCTAGTGTTAGGAAGCCCCAGCTGTGTAATACTAGGCTCTGTGCACACATCAGTACAAGACAGTCACTGCCTGAAAGCACAGTCTAATAAAGTATAATGAAGATCACTGAATACACAGTTTTAAAGTACGTGGCTGCTGGTCCCGCACCCAGTAGTGAAATATGCACTGCATCAGCACAGTCTCAAATCACCAGAAGTCTGTTAACACACTGTGCTAGTCAGTCCCATTACAGCACGAGAGGGCTAACATGGTTTTTCCTTCTAGTCCATGTGGTAAGGGGACTTCTGTTACTGATATTTATCAAGAGATACTTGTACAGTAAATGTCATGGACAGTTAAAAGCATATCAGGAAGCAATGCCTCGAGATTTCATGTGGTTTACAAATGGAATTTCCAGTTCTGTATACAAATTCAAGTATGTTTATAGAAATTTTTTTGTGGTACTAATGGAAATTTCTGAATCTATACATGTCCCTTTCTGCAAACTGGCATAATTTTAATATGAGAAGAACTATCCATACATCCTTGACTTGTCATTTATTAGAAAACTCAAAACCTTAATGGTTGGCATTGGAAAAATAAGGGTCAAGATACAGGCAAAGTACCTCTGTATTACAGGAGATAAAGAATGGGGAATATATTTTATTCTGGTTATGCTAATTCATCACCCCAAGCATTCTGTCTAGATTGCATTCTGTCTAGTCAGTGCTTTTCTTCATATCTTAAAGAAAAGATACAGCCAAAGTAAAGGACATTTGGAGATAGACAAAGAAAATAATTGAGTCACAAAGAGTCTTCTGTTTGAGGAGAGATGAGAATGATAGGGGTTGTTTTAATTTAGAGACAAATAAGAGAGTACACGACAGTAGTGTACAGAATGATGAATGATACAGAGAAGGTGAATTGGGTGCTCTTGCTTGCCCTTTTGTAGGTGCAGAAGCAGAGGGACATTCACTAAAGTGAAAGGCAAAAATAGTAACACTGTTTAAACGGAATTTTGAAACAGTAACTCCCTTGGTTCCCTAAGTTTATCTTGTTTCTCCATGATGCTAGAGCATGTAGTGAGGGGGACACAAAAGACCTCTAGAAAATTAATTCAGGTTGTCCTGCTAAGCAGATATGAGCATACTGCAAAGACTACTGACTGGATCAGGTTATAGGCTTGTGTGAAGGAGAGGAACTAGCCAGGTAATCTTAAAGAACCTTTTTAGCCTTAAAAATAAGTGGAATTTGTGTAAGATATTAATACATGTAATGACACTATCCATACATTTACAAGATTGAGTAAAAAAGTAACTATTCTTAAGCAGAAATCTATTACTGATGGGAAGAATTTTGCTCTGCAGTTGACCCCATGTGATTTCTTTTTTTTTTTTTTTTCTTTCCCATGTTTCCCTGAATATCTGCTCATGACCCTTTTATAAAAGGCTGATGTTCTGCCACATTGGCTCAGGACTCTACTTCAGGGCCAATGAAGAAGTTGTAGGAAGTACATTTATTCTTCCTGAATATTCTTTTATGGTATTCTCTCTTTTTTTGATGTTCCATTTAGTATTCATCTTTAATTAATAAGTTTGTATCAAGATCCAGAAGATTTATTTTGATCAGTAAATTCTAGGGAATTTCTAATAAAGTAAATTCTATATGTGCCTCTCCCTGCAGCCCATTCTTAGATAAAAAGGGGATGGTAAGACATACAAACAGCTTATAAACAAGTGAGATCACTTTCTGGTTAGATTATTACAATATCTGTTTAGATCCATTGTTACTTTTAGACTTGATCCTTGACACTTTTTGTAGATTTGCAATTATTTTATCATTTCACACCATACTGCCTTATTTCATGTGTGTAAACCTAATCCACCCGTGGAGATCATCACTTCAGAGCCTAGTTCCTGTGTTCAATTTGAGTGTTGTGCCTGCCTCATTCCTAATGTCTGTGTCTAGTCCATTGTGGTAATGTTGGTGTACTGATTAAAACCTAAATCAAGATAGCCTTTCCTGCCTCAGTTTTCCCCACCTTAAAATAGGTGAAACACCTCAGAGTTTCTGGATGAAAACCGGTCACTATGATATAGAAAAAATTGCATTTTTAGTAGTGTTTCCTTATGCCTTATACTTGGGTCTTTTTTTCTCACTGACCTAAGGGACATCATGAATGCATCTGCTGATATTCTCTGTATTAAACTTTGTGCAGCTATTGAGCATTTAAAATATTTACTGTTTAACAAGAACAGATGTATTTTATGAATCATGTACAGTATATAATTTGTAAAAGTTTATAAGGGATACATATTTGTATGGTTTTGTGTGTGTATGTATGAGCTATATATATAAACTGTACAGTTAAGAATGTATTTGCCCACCACTGCAGTCCAGCTGCCTCTAAAATCTACATTATCTTGACAGCCCTGAAATATCAACCTACAACATGGTCAAGAACAAGCCATTTGAAATAGCAGAGAAAATTTAATTGTAAATGTAATTACATGGTCAGGGGTATGCAGATTCTATGTCTAAACTTAAGTGAAAAGAAGCATTCAGTTTATTTTTTTGACATTTATCAAAAGCCCTCCAAAAACCATCTAGGCTGCAGGCTAAGCTGCCTTTCATAAATCTCAGCCAAAGACTTGCTGCTGACTTTTTAAGACTAATTTATTTCTATTGTTCTCAAGTAATTAAATTTTTGTTGTTATCTGCTGAAAGAGACCCACTGGGTTGAGCATGTAAGTATATGGTGGTGGGGGGAAGAAGGATTTGTGTTAGTTAAGTGGAGATGATAAAGCTGAAAACATAGCAGCAGGACATAAATCAGATTTTTTTTCTTTTTCTAGTTGGCTCGTCACAATAAAACATTGCAACAGATGCTGAAACCAGGGTCAGATCCAGATGAAGGAGATGAAGCCTTGAGGTATTATGCCAATCATACGGCACAGATAGAGGTAAAGAATTGCTCACTAGAAGATTGAATATGAGACACATTTGCATCTTATGCATGGTGTATCACCTCTTCTTAAGCGTATGAACAGCAAAGCTTATTCAAATGGTGTAGATTATTTATGGGAAGGAGAAGGTTGAATAATATGCTTTTGGCTATGGGAGGAAAAAGGAATTCACCTATATTAAAAGTGGCTCCAAATAATCATTTTACAGTAGCTTTCCTGTGTTTTACCAAATGTGTTTTGTTAGGGCAGTAATGACTGTGGGTAGTACTGTGTCATGAAGTCAAGAATAATCTTGTATGGTACATCACACAAATAAATAATCATGAGTTGCAAAGCCAGTGATGCTAACTGATCAAATTACAAGTCTGGCTGGAGTACAAAGAGATTTTGAAGTGGTGTAGACATTCAGTATGACTTTTGTTTAAAAGACCAATGCTTGGCCTGGTTCATCAGTTCTGTTCTCTACTTTAAACTTTACCCCTACCATGAATTGGATTTAGATCAAGATCCACAGAGGTATTTAAGTTCTTAACTCTTAAATCAGTTCCTGTGCTTTTACAGATTTCATGGGATTATAGATATCAAGGTAGGAGTTAGGCACTGTAGTATCTCTTGTCCTTATTGACTTTGTAAGGAGGAGAATTTCTGTGGTGCAAAGGCAACTGCTGAGAGAGACTACAGGAGGAAGGGGCATTTGGTGCTCTCTTGGAAATGCTCTGTGAAGTCCAAAATTAGCCGAGTATGAAAACTCCACAGTATAGCTGCACACAGGCCCAGCCTGAATCTGAGCCAGTAGTTTTACCCCAGGCTCCATCAACACTGGACCTGTGTTTCCGTGCATAGGGAGCAGTCTGGATGCAAGCACCTCAGGTCTGTATTGACCTGGCTGCCATCAAGAGGAGGACCACCCATGGCTGGGTCCTTCTCTGTTTCCCATCATCCTTTTTTGCCTGATACTGGTCACATTATCCCACCACAGGATAGATGGAAGCTCCATGGCTGTGGCTGTCCAGAGGGCAGCTCAGTGCTCTTCTTAACATATTTTAATACTCTGGGTGCTCCTGAGATACCTCTTAGTAATTATCAGTCAAGTTATATGAGTAGGTTGTAAATTTAGGCATTAAGAAAACACTGCTTTTATGTGTCCAATAGCTTATCCCTGGTGTAGTTTCTGAAATGTCCTAAAACCTCATGGCTGCAAAGCCTGTTCCTCGAGCAGATAGAGAGGCCTCTATTCTCAGGGAGGCTTTTAAAATGTCATTCTGCAGAGCAGTGCATGCAGCTTACCTCTTCATCTGAGTCCCTGACAGAAGTGCTTTCAGCTTTCTTCACTTGCCCTACAAGATTAGCTGCTAGTCACATAGTCCTGTTGCCCAACTGCTAGCCTGAGACACAACTATTTACTTAGGACACTTCAAAATTCCCTGGTTGAATTTCACATAATGCACATGCCCATGGGCAGACATGAGCATAATTATCCTTCATCTTCAACATAAATGTGCTTGACTTTGTAACATACTTTTAAAAATTACTTAAGACAGGTGGGTTTTTGGTATGTTCCCATAATAAATATGAATTAATGAGAGAAGAGAGGGTTCTTTAATGCAGGACTGTGACTGGAAAAGTGAAACTCAACCCAGCATTGCTCCTATATCAAATGGATGTTCTCTGGTCTTTCTCTGAAAGCAGTCCTAAACTTGTTTGGCATTTCAGATACAGCTCTGCTCTATCAGGGGATATTTGTTTGATTTGAAAGTCAAATAGTGGAAGTTTTTTCACTGTTGGCTGCACAGAGAGATAGGTCTAGAGTCAAGATGTGTTTTCTACCCATTTCTGTATTTTTAGTAATGCAGAGTCCACGATCAGAATGGGGAAGCAGTTTTGATGACAGTGTGGTGAGATGGAATAAAATCTAGCTCACTCACCAATAACTCATTAGGCACTGAAATCCAAACAATGCAGAACCATGGGTTTTGTCAAGTAAGAAGATGAAGACTGACAAGATATGGAGGCTGAGTAACAAGGTGCTATTTTTGCATGTTCACCTTCACAACATCATAGAAGTAGACTCAAGGTGAGAAAATAATTTCGTAGTCTGAGCAGAAAGCGCCTGAACTTCTGCGCTGTTTACTGGGAGAGATTTGTTTAAATTTATTGCAAAATTGAAGGATTCTGAATTAGAACATTTTTTATATTGGGGAAGTTTGGACCTGGGTTTTGCTTGAGACATATATTTGCCACCTTATTTTGAGGCAGGCTTTTGAAGATAGAAAAGCAGTTTTACTTTGGTTTAGGATTGATTGGTTCAACTTCATTGTAAAGTTCAAATAATTTATTCATTAATTTATAAATAAAAGGGGAGTTGTGAACAAGAAAAGATATGACAAAATGGTTGGAAAGTTACTGATCCTGAAAAAAATATGCATTTTATTTATAGATTGTTCGCCATGATAGAACAATGGAACAGATCGTCTTCCCTGTCCCCAATATTTGTGAATTCCTCACTCAGGAATCCAAAAGTCGGGTATTCAATACAACCGAGAGAGATGAACAAGGGAGCAAAGTCCATGACTTTTTCCAACAGACAGAGGATCTGTACAATGAGATGAAATGGCAAAAGAAAATAAGGAGTAAGTATTGCAGTTTCAAAAAAAAAAAAAAAAAAAAAAAAAAAACCCTGGTTTTAAACTTTCAAATACTTTCATTTTAATAATACACTTTTCTCTGGTCACTCCAATACTACAACAGGCAAAACTGTTCAGGGATTGAGAGCAGAGTATAGGTCAGCTGAAACACTTGCATGACACCATAAAAGGGGCATAATATAGAGCAGTTAGTAATATAAGTAATGTGTTCAAGATGATGCTTTGGACTCCAAAAGTTAAAGTGAGCGATGAATAAACTGGGTGTAGTTCTACTAAACTCAATAGAGTTGCACCTAATTAAGACAGGGTCCCTAATATTTAACAAAAACATGTGTAGCTGCATATTTGAGGTTTGCAAATTCCTAAAAGACCATTAAAAAAACTTGTAAATGTCAGTCATTTAAAAACCTCTCTCACCAGTACCTCAGCTGCTTTAAATCTGCCCAACTCCCATGGAGTCAGTTCCCCTGGGCCAGTTCACATGAGCCTTGCTTGACTAGGCTGTGGTATGTCCTAGTCTGTTAGTCCATACTGATGTATGTCCTATGGTAGTGGCAGAAGCACATGAACCACTCCCTTAAGCTGCTTGCAGATCTGACAGGCACGGTCAAGATCCTGCAGGGAGAGATCAAAGCAGGGACCTGAAGAGGAGGTGCAGTGAAGTCAAGCCAGGTATGCTGAGTTTCTTGTTTAGTTCACTGGTGATTGATTAGGAAAGGAAGGGAAGAATAGGATATATGGTCAAAGCAGCAAGGAATTTGGATAGTCAAAGCAATATGGCTTAATGTAGCATCCTTAATCCGATGGAAACGTGAATGTTGGTTACAGTTTTTATAAATGTTAATTCACAGGCTGTAATTTTCAGAGGCAGTAGTAAGTCTTCAGTGTGAACCTTATCAGCCCAGGTCCACTTCCCTTGGTAGCACTGTAAGAACTTGTCTGTACTGACAAACTGATGTGAATAGAAGTTGAAAAATAAATAATTCCAGAATAACTCCCTATCTGCACTATTTGGGAATAAATTTATTTTAGAAAAATTTTTCCAGTAACAAAATCATATCTGGGTCTTGCTTAAGAAACACAAATACAAGAGCCCAACCCTACACTTATATAGACCAGACCTGCCTAATGCTTTAAGAAAATAAAATTTTTATTAAGAACAAATTCCTCAATTTCTTTGATGAAATTGGGTTTTTTTATTTGAAAAGGTAATACTGGTTGAGGCTCATTTCATTCTTTAGCTAAGTGCCTGTTAGCATTCAGTCTGTGTTGTTTAAATTAACAGATGGCATTTGCAATGGCTCCAAATGCTTAAATCTCAGTAGTCAACAGCATAAGGTTATCACAATGAAATCTGAATATTTACCTAATCATAATTAAAGTCTGTTTAGACTAAAGCCCGAGACAGTCATATGTAGTTGAAGCAGTCTGCTGTTTATAAAAAGTTAGCTGGGTGCAGGCAAGTCAGGAATATGCTCTGCATACTTGTGGGAGGTTCTTGGTGCTTTAAAATCTAATTAATAGGAATACATCATTTTCAAATAGACAAACCTCTCTGGCTATAGATTTTTTTCATAATATTGCACCTAGAATTTTGTTTTAAATGTTCATTTAAACACACTGTAATGCAGTCCTGTATATGAAATGCTTGCCTCTGTCTTAGTACCCTCTGATCTTGTTCCTAACCTTTTTGCTGAATCATTTATGTGAATAGACACAAAATCTTAACCCTGTTTTGCCCCATTTTCCTTTCTAGTCTTTTCTAACTAGGTTATAGGTTCTTTAGGACTATTTCTGTGTGTTTGTACAGCACTTCACATATGGAGATCCTGGCTTCATTTGAGTCCTTTTAAGTAGGAGTAGAAAGCTGTTTGTCAGCAGGTAACCTTGGACATCTGAGGATGATGCAGGAAATAGTCAGCTTTCATAGAACCAAATCCCAGTCAGATCAAATTTTACTTGTTCCCCAAAGTAGATCAAGATGTATTTAGTTTGACAGAGGTGGGGAAAATACCACAGTTCTGAAACCTTGCCTATTCCATTGTTCTTTGAATAATGTCATCAGTGCACTTAGTTCAAGTGGGTCATCTGCATGATCCATTCTGGATCTTCTGGTTGACTGGAATGCAGAGTACTAAAATCTTACCTGTTTGCTTGATTTTGTGTCTCCATGCACAGAGACTACAGTTTAAGAGTCAGGTGGAAAGACTCTTCTGCAAAAGGTCCAGTCCTAAAATCTTAGTGGAGGCAAAACTCTCATATCTAATAAACTGTATTGGGATCTTTGGGTTAAAAGCTGTGTTTGAAACTATGTTTTATGCCAAACCGATGTTTAATATTTGTCTGATTTATTAATTTTAAACATTGCATATTTTCTTTATTAATCTGAATTTTTTAATTCCCTTGAGACCACTACTGTTTGAGTTTCTGCCTGCTTTCATTTCACTGATTGCTGCTCTTCTCCCCTTTATAGATAATCCACCCCTCTTTTGGTTCTCCAGACACATCTCTCTCTGGGGCAGCATTTCCTTCAACCTTGCTGTATTCATCAATTTAGCAGTTGCTTTGTTCTACCCATTTGGAGATGATGGAGATGAAGGCAAGTGGAGTTTGGTTTTATTTTTCCCTTTAATTTTAGGTGCTTTCAATTCTAAGGTAGAAGTTACATAAAAATGCATCTTCAGGTATGCTCATATCTGCAGAAGCCACTTAGCATCTTCTAAGTAGGTACCAGATGTTGTCTGAAATGTCGTAGCTGATCTTCAGTGTGTCACATGGCCTGTGCAACATGAAGTAAAATGGACAGAACATAGCTGTTAATCTGAAGATTATCTATATGAGTTGGGGTTTGTTTGTTTGTTGTTGTTTTTTTAATATTGCCATATTGCAGTGTACTACTGCACATATTCAAATACAGCTTCTGAGCTGAAGAAGGATTTCTGGCAGCAGAGGAACAGAGACTCCTTAAAACTGACCAAATTGAAGACTTGCAGTCTTAAAAACATGGAATAGAATTATTAGAAAACTAGCTTGTTGACTTTTGACTATTTTGTTTATTGGGATAAAAGGACGTAACTGTTGCAAAAGGACGTAACTGTTGCAAAGGATAAATGCATTATATAAAAATATGCTTAAAACCTCTGCTTTATCACATGTCACAGGAAATACAGCAAATAGTAAATTTCATTAGATAAATGCAGCAAACTAGCAGGAGGCCTCTTTGAATCCAAAACAAGCTTAATTGGTATAAAGGAGACTAAATAGTTCAGAATACTGGTAATAGGAGTAGAGTCATTCACCTCTGGGTCTTTGATTCATGTCCAGTCCAGTCAGTAATGTGACTGAAAGTCACCTCTGTCTGATGGCATGTGAACTGGGCTGGTGGAAGCAGTCCAGCTTCTAGTAGATACATGTGCTTTTCACAAACACATGTATCTGACTAAACAGAAAGGCAGCAGATTAAAATGTATTGGCATGGAGACTATGTGGCCCTTTCACCCTACAGGGTCGTCTCTGCAGGTCACGGCACAGGAATCTCCACAGCCTTGTGAAGCAAAGTTTGCAGGACTGTGCCTTGTAAAAAGGAAGTATTCATAATTAGTGCTTTCCTGCTTGTAAACTGAAGTCTCTCTGAGTGCACACACATTAGAGCCCATGCACGCTGAGAGGAGAAATAAAAAGTTTAAAATAAATCTTTTAAGCTACTAAATTTTAGCTGATCTATACTCACAGAAATCCTCTGGTCTGCAGTCAGTAGGTATTAATACTTACTTTGAACAGAAGATTTATATAATATTATTTTAAGTGGCCCCAGTAATCCAGTGATTTTAGTGATAGCACATTTCAGGATTCCAGTTCCTATTGCTTGTAAAACCAAAAGCAATTTCTGAGCAATAAACAATAGGTGTGGCCAAATGGGATTAGCAGGTCATGAGGCATCCTTCTTACTTCCAACCTCCCCCTCCTCCAAAACCTGATCTCACAAATGGAGTTTGTCTCCCACTTTTCCCCTTTATCTTGTGTAAATCCCTCCATACTCAGATGACAGGTGCCTGGGCTGATCTAATCATCCCGAGACTGCTGCCTTTCAGTAGATTTCTGTGGTTCTTACATCATATGAAAGTGAAATTGTGCTCCAAATGAGAACTCCTTGCCTCCAGCATGCACATCTGCATACATTATCGGTATGGGTTCTGTGACATGAAATTGTTTGACCTGCAGTAGGGAAGAAAGAAAAACGGTTTGTTATAGAAACACTGAGTGCTTTGGCCTCACATTTCAGATCCACTTGAAAGTTGTTTTTTAGGTTCCATTAAAAGTTTCCAAACTTTGTTGGCAAAGAAACTGACAGAGCTGACCTTGAACCTCCTGCCAAGGATATAAACAGACTTTGGAAAAGTTGGGATGGCATGTGAATGTTGAGGCTAGGGCCTCATCTCATTGTTTTCTAATCCCACTTATGCTGCTCAGCTGTGTATCTGTTGCCAGAGAGATAGCATGATTTCTGTTGTGAGGCTGGTTAAATTTTCTATTCCCTTCTCCCCCATCACTGACCTCTCAGTTCATCTGATAACAATGGAAGTCAGTGTACAAGTGTGACAGTGCCCTGAGATCTGAATGTGCTTTTTATATCACAGCAGCATGGTGTGTTTCCAGGGCTTTAAGCAGAGGAAAGATGGAAGATAGGGGCGTTGCTCAAAACTCAGCAAGAGCCTGGAGCCAGCGTCTTGCAGAGTGGCGAAGAGACTGATTCTGAAGGCAATGGCTCACATGCCCACAGGAGCTTAGCAAGACCTGAGACCCACTGTCTCCCCAGGAGCAAGGCATTCAGCTGCTCTTGGCAATACAGATGCTGACTGTTCCTGCTCAAGTCTCTGTGGCTGCCTTCTGCTGTGACAAGTGCCTTGCTCCCGTGCAGAGGCAGAGGCTCCCCCTCAACACCTGCAGCTGTTCAGAAGAAAGCTGCTTTTATAAAACTGGGGTGCTTTGGTGCTGTTGGGGATCAAAACGTGACACTGCAGCATGGTGCCACTTGGTGCACTGCCCCAAGGACTGGCTATTTCTGTAGCTGAGCAATCATAGAATTAGACCAGAGGAGCCCTAATGTTCCTTGCAGAAGGGAGCTGATTAGTGGCTTGCTCCAAGAGAACGGTAAACTGTTTCATCTCTGAGCACTCATTGGATTTTAATGGAAATTTCATTAGCTGCTCTTATTATTACCTGTGCAAAAATCAACAATACTATGATAATAATAGCTCTTGCTGCAGTTAGGGCAAGCTGTGGTCAGCGGTTGTGATGCATGAATCACACTTTTTGTTAACTGTATTGGCAAAGGAATTGATCTTTCAGATCTGTTTCTTGGTGAAAAATAAAGTCTCCAAAGATGCCTTTCTCAAATCTCGCTTTCTCCTCTACAGGCACGCTCTCTCCGTTGTTTTCAGTCCTCCTTTGGATAGCAGTGGCATTTTGCACAGCAATGCTGTTTTTCATCTCTAAACCTGTTGGTATTCGACCCTTTTTGGTGTCTGTTATTCTCAGGTCTATATATACTATAGGGCTTGGTCCTACCTTGATACTTCTTGGTGCGGCTAATGTAAGTACTAAAAAAGCAAGCAGAATTTCCCTTTCAGAAGTGGAGATATTAAGAGTCTCCTATTTAAGAAAACCCTTGTTAAGAGATGTGCAAAGAACTACTTTTTCTGGTTCACTGTCTAAGCTAAAAAAAAATAAATTATTTCCACTCATTGTGAAACAGCAGTATCAGCGAAGTGGGAAGCTAAGGAAAAAGCCGATTTGGTATTGTGCATATGCAAATATTTTAAAAATAAAACCAATATGAAATTTAAAGAAATATTGCTGAATATGGGCAATCAAATTTGCAGTTTCTCATGTTAAAAGAATAATTTTCTCTACCAATAGGCTCAGCAATACTGACTCAAATTCCTGAGATGTTTCTGTGAGCTTAAATATATTTCTGAGAGGAAAAAAGTTTTCAAAACTAAAAATTCTCTCAGCGAGACCCCCCCACCCCTCAGCTTTGTAACAAAATAGTGTTTCTGGTGAGCTTTGTTGGGAACCGTGGAACTTTCACCCGTGGATACAGAGCGGTCATCATGGACATGGCTTTTCTCTATCACGTAGCATATGTCCTGGTCTGCATGCTGGGCCTCTGCGTGCACGAATTCTTCTATAGTTTCCTGGTAAGTATGTGCTTCTGTGGAGGGGAAAACTTTGCAAAAATAGAAAATACCATTACCCATGCAGCTGTCTTCAATTTCTTCCTGACAATCAAACCAAATCATGTGTATTTTGAGCATGTCGTTGCATTGCTGCCCCTTAGGAGTTGCTGTTTTCATTAGAAGTTATTTCTGTTAGGACTTATTTTATCTGTTTCCCCCTTTCTTTTCAGTCATTATACAGCTCACACCTTTCTCCCACCCTTCTGCAGCATACATATATTCTATGTCCATTGTTCCTGTATCATGTCAGTCATAATCTCTTTTGGACAAGGGTTTTCCATGGGTGTGTGCATCATACCCATACTAGAGGATCTCATTCTTCAGTTCATCTTGCAGCCCTAATAAAATAAATCAAAAAATATTTACTTGGGAAATGGAGATGGCCTCAGATTCATCACTAAATGTGTCCCACTTAATTTTGTTTTGTTGCCATTACCTATATGGAATGCCTTTTCATAGTATGATACCGGTGCAATGAAAATGAATCATACAAAATTATGCTAAACTCAGCTAACTGTTCCCTTCACGCTGAATAGCAGTAAAAGGTGTTTCACTGTTCTTGTTTTCTAGTCCTTTTGTTTTATACTGCAATGTGTGAAACTTATAGGGACACTGACTAAATTGTGGTCATTTGCATGGGTTCATATTTTGTCGTCATATTTTTCTCAGCTTCCTGAACAGTGGTGAACTCCCAGCATTTCACAGAGGTGTGTTAAACACACTAAAATTTTCAGGGGTTCAGTCCTTACTCTGATAGAGGTCCTGTTGAAGTCAAGTTTTCCAGATCTTGACATTAAAGTCAGCTACGAAGTTTGGACAGAGGACCCAAGATTTTGTAGGTGTAGCTGCAGAACCCTTTACAAATGGATGTAACTCTTCTGCTTGAAAAATGTACTGCAAATTATCTGTTATTCCTTCAATGAGTAAGGTGATCTCTACCTTAAAATACTTTGCAAAGTGCCAAGTAGTTTAAGAAGCATTTTATGTACTTACTTTTTTCAGTGACTGCTGTTGACCAATATCCATAATTCATGGATGTTATAATTGTCCACATTCCCAAGTTCCTTCCAGGTGTTCACTTTGTCATGGATATGTTCTAAACTCTAATATTTGTTCCTCATTTTAAGCTTTGTCTTGTATGGAATGAATGATAACCATCTTCCCTCTTTCTTCCTTTATTATTAATCCTTTCAGATCTTGTGGATTTCAGATCTTGTGAATTGTGGCTAATACCTTCTTATGTGGACCATTTTGATAAATCATAGTGTGCCACTTTATATCTGTAATCTGAGTGTTTTGAAGTGGAAATACATACATTATAGATAAGGTCCAAAGCACTATAAAACATCAAAAGAATTGTAAGAGAAAAAAAGCTATAGTTTCTTGAAAAGCTCTTACCACATTTTATTGCTATTTTGGGCCTTTAACATATAAAGCAATATTATCTTAATGTGTACTTTTCTTTGAAGTTAAATACCAGGAAAGCATATAGTGCACGGTGAAGAATAGAAGTTTCTAGTTTTATACAAACAGTGCAATGAATTTTAACTTTGTCCTAAAAAGAGATGGCCCCAATCCTTGTACATGTGAGTGGCTCAAAGAAACAGTTTGCTGACATGTAATTACTTACATGCATGAGGGTATTTTTTGGTGGCAGCTCATGCACGTTTATCAGATGGGAGATAACATTAAAAATTAATTTGTAGGTACAGATCCATAGTATGAAGACACTGTTTTTTGATTTTAATCTAGCCTGATTTTAAACATGGGGAAACAATGGATCTTGGGAACTGTTACCCACCTCTGGATGAGGCTCATAAATACTTTGTGACTTTGGATTTGCTATCTTAAAATTTAAAGTTCTGTGCTAGATTTTCTCCTCCTATAAGCATGCCCAGCTCCCACTGAAATCAGTGTGAATTGTGTGTTTATGAAGCTGAGAATTTAGAACATGGCTAGATGCATGTGTCAGTAGTTCAGATTGTTTTCCTATGTAGCATCTATATATTGCCTCATTTGTATTCATTTTCCCTCTACTCTATGCTTTTCCCAGCTGTTTGATCTGGTGTACAGAGAAGAGACATTGCTAAATGTGATAAAAAGTGTTACCCGGAATGGTCGTTCCATTATCCTCACTGCAGTGCTAGCACTCATCCTAGTTTATCTCTTCTCTATCATTGGATTCCTCTTCTTGAAAGATGACTTTATCATGGAGGTTGACAGGTTGAAAATTAGAACCCCTGTTGCAGGTATTGTTTTTTATATTAAAATTTGCTTCTGACATACAGCTTTTCTGTCTACCTAACCTAACTTTCATCTAAGGAAATTAAATTTCATTTGTATTTGTGAGAGCAGAACTAATTCCATGTACCTTATAACTCAGTTAAGTCTCTGGGTGAAATGTAATGTGTATCAGGCTGTTTTAGACTAGGCTTATCTGTTGAAATACTGAGATCTAACACTCACATTTTATTTATGATGTTTTCTTTTTGAAAGCATGCTAATTAAAAAAAAAAAAAAAAGCCGGTATTTCCCAAGTACTTGGAAAGAGCAACTCAAATTGGATTGATTCTGTTGGTTCTCATCCCACTTTGAAAGCAGCTCATAGTATTTTCTGTACTATATGAAGCATGGTCGATAGATGTATTTATTTGATCACTTTTTTAACTTCATCAAGCAGAAATTTATTACCAAATCCACACTTCTACTGGTAAGAGGTTTCCTTGGAGCATCTTTTAAATTCAGTGTATATTTCACAAACATCACCATTAGTTGATAATCCTGGATTCAGTAAAATCATTGGGATGTTTTTAAATAGTTTTTAAAAGGCCAGGATTTCAGCTTTCTGAAATGAGAGATTTTACCAACATGAACAGTTACAAACTTGCTTTGCTACTAAAAGGACAGGTCTGGTCTATTGAGATCTTTGTATATCCTGCCAGCCAGCCTGCTGGGAGCATGGACAGAGAAGTAACACTGCATAGAAATATCTGAGAGAGAATAGCTCTGATTAAATTCCTACAGGCATGATTTTCCCAAATGCTGAGCTCTTCAGACCTGTACACAAGCACAGAACAACTAGTTGTATCCACCCTGGACTGTGTGCACTCAGTGTTTGCCAGCCTTTACATAAATCTGTTATTTCAAGATCTAAAGCACACAAACAAGGCAAAGCTCATTCAAGACCCCTGTGCATGGTGTATTCATGTTTAATCCCCTATGAAAAAAAAGGAACCTGACAGATATCTTTAACACACCTTGCTTTATTGACACTTAACATCTTAAAAGAGCTAAACTGGTTTATATTTGACTTACCATTCATTTTTGGGACAGCACTTACGATGTGAAGTTTCAATTTGAAAGGTAATTGTGACCATTGTAGAAGAACAGATGTGAGGCTACATGCAGCACTGGTCTGGTCCAGTGCAGTAGTTCCTGTGTATGTATGTTTTTTCTGTTGGGTTCCTGGCAGATTTTTGTGGTGTGGGTATATTCTTGCTGGCTTTATACATTGCCATTCCTGATCAAAAACTCATAAAGAAAATATGCTGACAGTATACTAATGGAACATTATGCATCCCAAAAAAAGTGGTTTAGATTTTTTTTCTTCATAAAGTAGCACAAAAAGAAAGTCAGAGCAAAGGTTCTCTGTTACACAGATTGTCTTAGACTGTTACTTTTGTTGTATGATTTTGCCTTCATTTTTTTCTCCTTAAACTTTTTGTATCTCTGATTTGAAATACAGAAAATTGTTGGAAGATGCACAAGATAGAATTGTTTTGATAAAACCAAGCTGATACACACATTTACCCATTTTGGGAATGTTAAATTAGTGTTTTACACAAACCCATACATATTTACAAATGAGTACCAAACTGTGTTATAATCCTTGAAAACTCTTAAATATTCTATATTCAGGATAACTGAACATCATCTTGGTGTCCTTCTTGTCAGCTTTTGTGAATAATTTATCTAATGTTTTAAAACTGACATTATTTTCTTATCTGACAGTTGTTTCTTTCTTTGAATATATTTTATTCTAAACAGAAGTAGCAGCATTTGTTGTAGATTCATTAATTTCAGGAGAAGAAGTGGGAATAGCTGTGATATATGTTATATATGTAAATATAACACTGGTTTTGTTCCTTGTGATTGCTTTGAGCTCTTGAGACAGACTGTTTGAGGAAGGAGGAATTTGTGGTATAATTTTTTCTGCTTTTTCTTCTCAACTTTTCAATTTAGTCATTTGCTTCTAGAAAATAATGATTTAAAACTTAGTATCAATGTAGTATCTGTTTTTTTGTCAATGTCCTGCTTTTTCAGGTATTGGTGAAGTCCCCACTACAACACTCACATCAATGATGGGAGCCTGTGCAAAAGAGAACTGTTCCACAAGCATCCCAATTACTAACCGCGGTTAGTACAAAAAAGTTCCTCCAGACTGATGATCAATTAGAACTGAGGGATTTCTGTGTTATTATTGGGGAGACCTTTGCTACTTTTAGAACTGATGATCATTGTTTTAAGTTGGAAGTGCTCATCTTCTGCAAGGCTTGGAGCTTAGCTGGCAACTTGCCTTTAATACGAGTGCTTCCCACACCTGATTTCCAATTGCACTGACATTAATTTTGTTACTTAAAGACCTGTCTGAATCATTATGCTTCAATGTACAGCTTGCTTCTTTCCAACTGGCTTTGCTGACAGAAAAAGCTTGTGGCTTATCTGCATCCTCACCTGCACGCACTGAGCCACTATTAGATCGATTTAAGGCCACATAGGTTTATTTTAATGGTATAGCATATATCAGTAAGCTTTTGTGTATACTTTTTACATGCATCTAGGCCAAGGTTGCAGTGTAGCTGGAACACCTAAGAGCCCAGATCCAGGATCAAGACACTGTACACTCTTAACAAGTTACTGTGGTTCAGATAAACAGAGTCAGCAGTCCATCTGTGCATTCTTAGCTTGTGGCAAATGGAAGGAAATAAGCAGACTGTTGCAAACCTTTCTCAAAATAGTTGTCTTGCTTCATGCTTGTGGCAAGTGAAGAGCTTAATCGCTCTGGTTCAGCAGATCAGTCCATGTGGTTTTACTTTGATACCTGCATTATGAATCTGATCTGTATGTCAGAAGGACTCTGTCAACTTTAAATATGCTCATTTAAAATAAAAGGTCTGACCAGTTGTCATGATTTGAGCGCAGAAGGCAACTGAGCACCACACAGCCACTCCTCACTCCTTACCCCTCAGAACTTGGAGGGACAAAATACAGCAAAAGGCCTGAGATAAGCACAGAGAGGGATGAGTCACCCATTATAGTCTCCATTGTAGAAGAAAAAGAACATTAATTTAATTCAAACACTAACAACAACAACACTAAACAGACAGATTACGACAGTGAGAAGCATTACCACATCTTAAAAACACCTCTCCTTCTTCCTGGGCTCAGCTTGGCTCCCAATTTCTCCACCTCCTCCCACCCAACAGCATGGGGGGAAGGGGATGGGGGTTGTGGTCAGTCCTGCCATTCCTTTCTCCTCATGCTCTTCCCCTGCTCCAGCATGGAGTCCCTCTCACAGCACACAGTCCTCTATGAACTTTCTCCAATGTGAGTCTTTCCCATGGCCCATAGCTCTTCCTCAACTGCTCTGGTGTGGGTCCCACATGTTGCAGTCCTCCCAGTGCCGAATTGCAACAGCAAGGGCTTCTTCCCACAGAGTCCCAGCCTTCTTTGGGCACAGCCCCCTGCTCCAGCATGGGGTCCTCCATGGGCTGCAGGTCGGCATTTGCTCCACCAGTGACCTCCACGGGTAGCAGTGGGGCCGGCCCTGCCCTTAGGGGTTGTGGTGGGGGGGTCTCTGCTCCGGCACACCTCCCCCCTTCTCTTTCTCCTTTCTTACACTGACACTCATGTTTGCATTAGTGTCCTACTTGCAACTCCTCACAACTCCCACTCCTCCTCTCAGTTCCCCTTCTTAAATACATTATCACAGAGGTGCAGCCACCATCGCTTAATTGGCTTGGCATTGGCCAGAGGCAGGTCCAACCTGGAGCCAGGGGAGCTTCAAGAAGCTTCTCACAGGGGCTACCACTGTAGCTCACCCCCACCACACCCCACCCCTCGCCCTCACTGCCAAAAACCCCGCCATACACACAAACCCCTCACACCAGTGTGTCCTGTTGGGGCAGTTACCAGATATTGGGACAGGAAAGAATTTTTCCTAGATTGATCTGGCACAGTGCTTGCTATATTCTGTAGTTTGAGACTACAGGGTCACTCAAGAGTTTTGTTGACCAAATGCACTGCTAAGACAGGGACATTTGATGGTGGTGCTACTCTATCTCTCCTACACTCTTCCTGTGGTACAGTCTAGTTGTGGTGTTTGGTCTTTCACTGCAAATGTTAAGTTTATTTTAGTGTGTTGTGGCCTTTGCAGTGTGACTGTTTGCACAGTGGATGGTCTACAGGCTTAAAATATTTATTGCAACAGTTGCCTGTGTTTGCTGGGAGCCGAAACTGAGGACATAAGTGAACCCATCCTATCCTGTGTGCCAGTATAATGCTGTTTCATAAGCTTTATTCTTCCACCACTAATTTTTGAGTTTTTAGGATCAAGGGCTTTGGGGAGAGGGCTATAAAAGCATGTTTTTTCTTCCCATCTGGTGTGTAAATAGGCCTCATAAACAACATGGGAATCTGTCTGACTAGATAGAGAAAACAGTCAAAGAGCTGTTGGCAAAGCTGCTGCATTCAAAGAGCAATCAATCACTCAAAAGAGATGTAGTGTGCTTTTGCCAAGCTCTTTAAATTACAGAAATCTCACATTTCTTATTGTCTGGATACTGTTTCTTTAAAATTCAACAATAATGAAAGGGGGCTATACAAGACATCTAAGTGCACTGTCACTTAATCGTAGAGAAGTTTTATGTATCCAGTAACATTAAAAAAAACAACATTGAGCAAGAACAGTTTTGCTCATCTTAGCCGGTGAATCACCTGTCAAGAAGTAGTGCTCTGCCTTCTGTCTTTTCCTGGGACAGATCTCCCTTCTGGCAAAAACGTGATCAAAACATCAGCAAAGGCCTGAGATTTGGTGAGTTTTATGTTGTAGCAGCATTAAGAAGTCCACAGCTGTCTGCAGGAAACAAAATGTTCTCAGTGGCATCTTCAGTCCAGAGTGGAGACATAAATACATTGCTGTTCAGGTTAGTTAACTGCTCATCAGTTTGTTCTGATGAGACTCTGCTTCTTTCTTGAGTTTTACTGGTTGAGCATACGCTCAGTCATTGCTCATGCTGGTGAGGGAGTTAACTGGGAGCCAGTCTGCTCTGCTCAGAAAGACTCCCCTGTCTATAGCTTGCTTCCTTACTGCTGCACTCAGCCGTCAGCATAAAAATACTTTGTCTGATCTCCCTTGGAGTCTCCCACTCTTCACACCAAAGACATATCCATATCACTTAAGTGTTTGCCTGGGAAAGTGCTTAATCACTTCAAGGAATCTCACATCTTACAGTACATGGCTCTTTGTGCTCTGTAGCCCATAAAGACCTGTGCTAGAAAGGTGTACATATATCTGTAAAAAGAGACATTTTCAAAGACTCAATCCACCCCAGGTACTGCTCTGTGCAAGTTCAGCTAGATCCACTTGTGTGTCTCCACTGCCTGTGCTTATGGTGGACATCAGGCCCAGAAGCCAGGTAGCTGTGGGACATCAGATGAGGATTTCTGAAGTGAATCTTCCTGTTGTCCTACTTACTGCCTTCTGATTAACATTGTGAGGTGGTCTTAGTGCTAATCTGCATTACCTTTGTATTAAACAGAAGGCAGCCTACCTAATGCTGTCTAGCCGCTAAGAGGCCACTCACCACACAGAAGCTGGTTGCAAGTTAAACCTCCTGAACCTGTTAGTGTCGATATTAGGTCCTTAGCAACAATTTGCTCTACAGATCCACTCCTTGTGGTAGTATGTGCATAGTCTGTGTCAACAGGGTTATGAGCACTGCTGAGCATCAGAGCAAACCAGCTGAGGCAGAACATGTGCCCATATGGTTACCTGGCTCCCAGATGGAGGGTAGCCCTTGTTATTCCACATCTGGGAGTGGAAGTAGAGTAGACATGTGGATGTCTGTATGGTCCCCACAGCCTACATTACTGCACTTTGGGCTGTCTGCTGTCTGTCAAAGATCTTGCAATCTGAACTTGCTCTTCTGGGTGCAACATGGGATGCTGATTTTCTGTGTTGCAAGATGTGCCGGTCAGCTGATGAGTGGTATCTTGCATCTCTCTGAAGCATGGGCTTGCTCCAAATTTGCATCTCAGTGGACATGAAGCATTGTGAGTTAGGGTTTCTAGTAGGTAATTCTCTCTTGTGTTGCAGCTTCCAGTTCTCAGCCCTGGTTTATCCTCACCATTCACCAAAATTCTGACCTTCTGTTTTCAGCACCTGACACTGATCTTGTTGTAATGGTTTAAGCCCGGAGGGCAACTAAGCACCATGAAGCCACTTGCTCACTCTTTCTCCCTAAGGAATGGGGAGGAGAAAATAAAACAAAAGGCTCAGGGATAGAGACAAGGACAGGTAGGGATGAGTTACCCATTATGGTCACAGGCAAAAGACAGACTTGATTGGGGAAGAAAAAGAACATCAATTTAATTTGAACACCGCCACTGTTGATTTTCCAGTCAAACAGAGTAGGACAGTGAGAAATACAACCACATCTTAAAAACATCTTCTTCCCAGGCTTAGCTTTGCTCCTGATTTTACTACCTCTTCCCCTGCAGCAGCACAGGGGGCAGGGGATGGGGTTGCAGTCAGTCCATCACCCATTGTTTCTGCTGCTCCTCCTCAGGGGGACAACTCCTCTCACTCTTCCCCTGCTCCAGCATGGGGTCCCTCTCATGGGAGACAGTCCTCCATGAACGTCCTCTGACATGAGTCCTTCCCACTTGCTGCAGCTCTTCATGAACAATCCCAGCATGGGTCCCTCCCACACACTGCAATGCTCCCAGTGAATTGCCCCAGCGTGGGCTTCCCTTAAGAGTCCCAGCCTTGTTCAGGCACAGGCTCCTGCTCCAGCATAGGGTCCTCCACGGGCTGCAGGGGCAGAGCCTGCCCTCTCACCATGGGATACAGGGAAGGTCTCTGCTCTGGCACGCCTCCCCTCCACACTCCTTTCTTCCACTGATCTTGGAGTTTGCAGAGGTGCTTGCCTCGCAACTCCTTCTCCTCCCAGATTCCCCTTCTTAAATATGTTATCACAGAGGCATGGCCACCATCACTAATTGGTCTCTGGCCTTGGCCAGAGGCGGGTCTGTCTTGGAGCCTGGAGAGCTTCAAGAATCTTCTCACAGGGGCCACCTCTGTAGCCCCCTCCCCCATTACCAACCCCACCACACCACACACACAAACCCAGCACACTCGTGAACAGTAAAAATCTTTTTCTGTAATTACCTAAATGAAATAGAAGCTGTGGATTTTTTAAGAGCTTTTAATTTATCTTGTGGCTGGTCATCTTCTCAAGCACAGATATTAGCTCCAGAAAAAATGACAGAGTAATGTTTGGAAGGAGGAAATAAAGTCAGGATACAAAAGCAAAGGAGATTCGTTGGTATGACTAAAACCACCATATAAAAAATTTCCAGATGTGACAGAAAAAAAAAAAGGTTTATTGTTTCAATCATTTCAGTTTCAATATTAAAATAGTCATTTTTTAAATCTGGAGTTATTCGTGGTATGTCTGTAATGAGCATATAGTTTAACAGGGAAGTCTATCCTGATGTATGGTTTTGCTTTTCTTTTTGCTCAAAGTTCCCTAAATCAGGAGTTCTTTCTAATTTAATTTACTTGTGTAGCAAAAGCAGTGATGGCAAAAGCAGCAGATACCAGCTCTGTTCTGCAAATATCAGTCATGATGCATACACCACAATATGGGAACCCATGTTTAAAATCCAAATTGCTTGTCTGTAATGTGAGTGCCTTCAGTCAAATCAGTTTATCAAAGTCTATCTTAGTACCCCAGTGTGGTGTTTCGGGACTGTTAAATATGCTGGTTTAGTTAACTATTGCAGCAGGATGTTGTTATTTATTAAACTATGTTACAATAAGTGTATTAGGCACTCCAAGTGAGAATCACTGCCTTCGCTGCTTAAGCAAACGTATCCCTAAAGAGAAAGGAAGGTAAGAGGAACATCAGTCACAGTCCTGACCCCTTCAGTGCAGGCCAGCAGAACACAGGGAACAACTCAAGCAGGGCTCTTCAAAAGGAGGCTGTTGATGCAGCCACAGCATGGGGATGAGTGCATGGTGGGAGAAATTCTTCCTGAGGACTGGTGTTCCAGCCCAGCTCCTCTGCACATTCAAATATTTCCTGCACAATAGTACCCTCTGTGGCTTGGCCAAAACCATGCAGCAGCTCTGCAGCAGAGATAATAATAGAATCCAAGTTTTCAAGATGAGGTCAGGGAGAGTCTTTCATTTAATGTATATCAGACCTGCTCTTGGGCATGTGTGCTAGTGGAAAGATCATGGACAGATTTACTCACATAAAAGACAGCCCCTCCTTAATGATTTGAAATGCTAACATGACTTGGCTTATACATGAGTAGGTAGAGGAATGATTTCACAGGAAGACAATTCTTTTACAAATATGCTTCTAATTCTGTGTTTATATTGCTTCTCCTCTATTTGTCAGATGTGCACTTAGGAGGCCCACTGACAAAGCAGTCATACTGAAACCAGTGGGAGTACTTGAGGAAAAGGGGTACTCCTGTGAATAGAGATGGCAGCTCTGGGCCATTAACAGAGTTACTGATGAGAGAACTGCTTGGGATTTTCTTTGTCTCTCTTCGGGCTAAGTATGCCTGATGTGCCTAAGTATGTCCAGTAGCGATGTGCAAATGGATAGGGATGATCAGTGAAATTCTAGCTGAAGAATATGAAAGGCAGATGTGTATTGCAGTTGCTTTCTCTAATACAGAATTGTGGCTTTGATGAGTGATCTTTGATGCTTTTGTTCCTAAAACTGCTGCTCTCCTGTTTGCAGGTGAAGAGGAAGATGGAATAGAAAGAACCTGTGACACCCTGCTCATGTGCATTGTGACCGTATTAAACCAAGGCCTGCGAAATGGTGGTGGTGTGGGAGATGTGCTCAGAAAGCCTTCCAAGGATGTAAGTGTTTTGTCTGAGGAAATGCATTACTCCCTGTGCATCTCATGAATGCCAAAGTCAATTTTTAGAGGTTATAGATGGTTATTTGTATCTAGTCTGCTCTAATGTCACACAGTTGTTTTATCCATGTAATTTTTACATCCCAGATGGAATTTTTAATGGCAAGAGGTATTGAGCTATGTGATGATGATGCTTGAAGAAAGGAGCTCTAGGTAGTAGTTTACCTGTTCTGGAAAACTGGAGTGTATTATAACCTTCCAAGCACTGCTAAGAAGTATTGGTGGATTGGATCACTCTTCTGTTACACTAGGAATTATAAATGCAAACTTCTGAAAGGGATTGATTGATGAGTATATGGCAAGACTCTCCACTGTAGTATGTAAGATGTATTTTAGCTTAAATTCAGCATGGCATCTGCCCTAGAATAGGTCCTGTTGTTCACTTGTACTCAACTAGTATTGAAGTCAGAACAGAATTTCATATATCATGTTTTAATATTTCATATATCACTCCAGGAGTTTCCTCCAAATTTCAATTCATGTAAGGACTGCTCTTAATATTTGGGTAGTTTTATGCATTTTTATTTAAGTTTTAAAAGAACATCATAAATAAAGGCGATCTAGCAGCACTTTGCTTGGTGAGCCACACCATAACACAAGGATTAAATTCACAAGTAGGATCTCAGCTGGGCTTCCAAGAGTCCAGAGACCAATGCAGATCTGGATGGAAGAGCTTGTGCTGCTAGTAGGAATCTAGGTCCTATCTTATAGACTGAGAGATTCTACAGGAACCATAGTCCATCCCCATGAACTCTGTAAACACTTACAGACTTCAGAAATGACCCTTGCCACACAGCAGTTTTTTAACACTAACTACATTAAAGCACTTCACAAAGGGTAATACTATTATCTCAATGAATATGTGGGAAACTGAGAAAATCAGTGACTTCCAAGTCAGTATCATGGTGAAGAAAAGGACTTGGGTTTTATGTTCCTCCTCCTTACACTGGGTGTTGTCTCTTGTTTGCCATAGAACAACTTTGCTATTTTTAGAGGTGTCAATGGGAGACCAGTCCAGCCTTTGCAAGAAGGAAAGTAGCTATGATGTAAAAACAAGAGTGGGATGAAACAGGGAATATGAGCACTTCATGTGTGTGTGCATGCACATGTGTATGTATGTGTGTGTGCATGTGCATATTGTGTTCCCGGAAGACACTTGCTTGGTCCGCCTGCTCTGAGCCAGCTTACAGCCATGACACTGTATTAGCACAGTGCTAAACCCATTAACATGTCCTGCTTGGGCACAGTGTGTAGTAGCCTGGCCTTGGCATCATGCTCCCCTGGTTTCCAGTTGTTCAGTGTGAAAACTTGGCATTGGTCTGGAGTATATGACAAAGACATAACGTGAATGCACATCCCTGTATGCCACGAGGCAGTATTAAGAAGAGCTATCATTGCTTTCAGTGGGTACTAGAAACTGCATATCCCTGTTTCTGTACTGACAAGGTAATTATCTTCAATCAAGCACTACACTAATTCATCTACACTGCTTCCAGTACAAAAGCTAGTCTCTTCTTCATGCTGTGTGAAACAATGTAAAGGAAAACAGGAGTCCCAGAGCAATAAGAGTACATGAAGCCAAAGCTTCTTTGCTTAGTCATGTAGGTAGTCCCTCTCTATTTCTGTGAGTAAGGCTAGCAGAATTTGTCCTAGGAAAAGAAAGATGCATAGCTTTGCTTGAGCTAATGTGAAAATGTTGTTTAATATTTTAGAGGTGTGCTATTTTTATATCTTATTGCAACCTTATTATTGTTTCAGGAGCCCTTGTTTGCTGCACGAGTTGTTTATGATCTTCTGTTTTACTTTATTGTCATAATTATTGTTCTAAACCTAATCTTTGGAGTCATCATTGATACATTTGCTGATCTCAGGAGTGAAAAACAGAAAAAGGAGGAAATACTAAAAACAACCTGCTTCATCTGTGGTAGGTGTTACTGAGCTATTGAGACATTTGATGGGGAAAGGAGTAAAACAAACTATTCCTCAATAAATAAAGTGTCAGCCTAAGAGGTGGTTATCTTCTACAAGGAAAGTCTGAAAAATGTCAAAATTTGGTTCCAAATTTGGTTCCAATTTATTACCTCTCAGTAAGAAAAAGATTTAGTTTAGGAGTCAAAAGCTAGCTATGATAAGAAGTAACTTCACAGTCTCCACCCAGGATCTGAAGAAGAGCCGTGTCTCACACTCACATCACCACCGCTAATGGAGATGGTGCAGCTGTTGACTTTATTTCACAAAAGCATGATGCAGGTGAAAGTACAGCTTGCTATTTCACAGCACAGTGCATTCCAGAAGGGTAATAACAGCAAAATCCACCTGATTCAGAAGGTGATGTGAAAGAGGGAACAAAAGAATTAAATAAAACTCATCCCCACAAAACCCACAGATATCTCGCACTGATTTTGAGGTGCACTAACAAAGAGGGGCAGACCTTTGCTCCCCTAGGGGACTTTAGAAATACCTCCTTTTTTGTAGGCTGAGTGTTGTTTCCATGGTTGTACTGACAGGGATGAACATTGTGCAGAGCACAATGGCTTTAGTGTCTGTGGAAGGCTCCACAAGAGATCCAGGGAGGAAAGCTGTAACACAGGCAAACATTTGTGAATCCTGTCCTTCCCCATTGTGGTATTCTTCTTCAGAGATTTGACCTGTTACAGGAAAAAAGTAAAAATTTCTTGTGACTACAGCTCTGAAAAGACTGTGTGACTACAAAGCTGCACAGACTCACCTGCTCTCCTAGGTTTAAGCACACAAACAATCCCACTGCAGCTTAAGTGGGACTATTCACATGCTTGATGCTAAATGTGTGCATAAATCTTTGCAAGATCAGGACCTAGATTGCACACTGTGTGCTTACCAGTATACATTTAGAAAGAATCAGAGCCAACACTTGTAAAGCATTTTATAGACCTCAGCATAGAAGGCATTGTAAAACAGTAGCATATTTATTATATTTTTATTGATATTAAGAAAATATCACAAAAGAGAATAAACACTGTGCTGAAAGAATTCTGTCAGGAATGCCTTCTGGCCTGGTATTTCTTGCCTGGCAGTTACTGTATGTGATTATAGCTTTTAAATTAAGATCCTTCAAATGTATGATCCTTTAAATTAAGTTAGGTTCCTTTCTCTAACATATTTAACAGATTTGGGTATTTTTATGTTGAAGTTTATTTTTCTGCATTATGTTCATGTCTTTTTGCAGGTCTGGAGAGAGACAAATTTGATAACAAGACTGTTTCATTTGAGGAGCATATAAAGTCAGAACACAACATGTGGCATTATTTGTACTTCATAGTTCTTGTCAAAGTTAAAGATCCAACGGAATACACTGGCCCAGAGAGCTATGTGGCACAAATGATTGTGGTAAGTCAATTTTGGCACATGTTTTATGCAACTGAGAGATGCTCCTTGCAGCTAGAGCAGAGAATATCTCTCTCTCTGAACAACATTAGGCATCGATCTGTATTTTTAAAGATGTTTTCACATGTCAGTCTGCAACAAAGCCCATTCTTAAACATAATGAAAAATACGAAGGCACAGGTCACAGTCTCTGGTTTGGCGTTACTGCTCTCATGCTCTGTGGGTTCTGCTGCCTCATTAGCCAAACCAGGGGCAGAAGTGCATGCATCATAACATCTGCTGCTGCTCCAGCTTTGTCCAGTATCTCTGGGTTGCTGTCCAGAAAAATAACATCACCTGCTGAACAGTGAAGCACAGGGTCAGTGTTGAGGTATAGTGCTTTTCTCCTATGACTGCTCTGAACAAGCTATTGAAAAGACCAGGAAGAGCTGCTGCAGGGATTTGAAGAGCTACAGAAACTGCTTTGTGAAGCAGTGAGAGTATGACTTTGATTCAGAGAGAAAAATTTGATGACACTGGGACAGAGAGATGTTCAATTACATTTCATATCCAGCTCCTACTAAAGAGGGTTTGTTCTGGTGAGAGAGAGGGATGGATTATCAAGGCTGTCTGGCTTGGAGGCTTTATTTTTGAGAAATTCTTCCTACCTGCTGGGATATTCTGGTGCAACATTTTCTTCCCATGGACTTTCTGGCAGGTATTGCACTGGTCAGGGCCTATGGTTGCAGAGCTGAAATATGTCTGAATCCCAGAGGAGGGTGTAACTAAATGCACGTAAGGCTTTGCTGTTTTATGCATTTCTGGAGCCACATTTCTTGAGAGTATCTGCTGTGTTATCCCTCATTGGGCCTTTGATTATACATACTACCCAACCTAACTAGTGAGATGCTGGGTGCCCTTTTATACCCCGGTTTAGCCAAAGGGAAGATTCTTCTCCTTTAACTTCATCTGTCTTCAAGTCAGGCACCTGGGTTTAAATCCATCCCATCTCCCTGCCTTGTCAGTGCAGAAAGCTGAGTTATTTATCCTGCCTTAAGACAGGTGTCTAGGATAGCTGGGGTGACTCACCCTGGCATCATCTTTCTCTCTCCATTGAGAGCCTAAATGATTAGACAAGATGCCTAATTGGGAGCTGGCTAAAGTTAGAGACAGCTCCCAGCCACTGTGCAGGCTTACGCAGAGCTTACCTTGAAGAACTCACAACAGCTCATGTTTAGACAGGAGTGCATACTTGGCTGCTGTAATGAAATGGAGCTTTTATAAGTTCTGTTACCACTATATGGTAAGGTGGTGTGGCAGGTGATGGGAATTCAGTGCTCAGGCACAGAGAAACAGCCTGTGTCTATGGAAATTTTGAACTGTCAATCTCATTGCCCAGCCCAGGGCATTTATACTGTTAGGCAGTATTGGATCTTCTTTTGCAATATGATGGGCAAGACAGAAAAAACTAAGACAAATACTTGTATCTTCTGTTCCATTACAAGATATTATTCATAGTGGCAAGTTGTCCTCTTACACATGAAAATATTTTAGCTTATCTCAGAAATGCACTTTAATTCATGGAATCAATAACATCTCCAGACTCTAGGGCTTGTCTTCTTTGTCTATTCCTTCTCTATTCTTCTTCCTCTCCCTGCAATGTTTGTATGATTTTAAACTTTGCGAGTACGTACGTTAAATATTAATGTTTAATTCCAAGGGATGCATTAATATTCATAGTAAGTGTATTCATCCTGTGGCAGCAGTGGTTTGACTTTTTTTATGTAATTCACTAATGTATTTTACATTTTCATTAATGGTGGGAACTCATCTTTGAATATCTAAAATATTAACACAAAAGCACTGAAACACATGTGACCTCAAGCACTGAACTGATGTCTCAAATACCCTGTTCCTCTGTGGCAGAATGCTGGTGGTTTAAGTGGTTAGATGTAACCCAGATTTTGGGATTATTAAATCTCTGCAGAAAGGCTTGCTTTTCCCATGAGTATATAAAGTTAGTGGTTATTCTAGTTGATGGCAGAGGTACCTACGGACCTAGAAGTGTAAAGCTTATGTGGAATGGAAGCCAGAATGAAGGAGTGGGGAAAAAGAAACAAATGTCTAAACAAACTACAAGTGGCTGGTGGAATTAGTGGAATTAGTAATCGTATCTTTGTGTAGTTTAAAATCCCCAGTACAAAATCTAGGGGAGATGTGCTGCAGAAATACTAGTGCTGTGTGGCAGAAGCAATTGGAATTGCTTAAGTGAACAAAGGACTGTTTCTCTTGAAGCCAGAGAGATTGCTGTATACCACATGGTACAAGGAATATTAAGAAATTAAAGAAAATAATCTGACTGGAAGAGTGGAATATTCTGGAAGTATATTCAACTGGAAGAAGAGATTTAGAGACACAGTTTAGTTTAGGACCAAAAGAAGACTCGAAAACACTCAGGGGTGGTTTTGCCGCTGTCAGCCATATGAGCTGATGCAGTGTACGCGTTTGGTATGTTTCAAACACAGCATGATAGTAATAAAATTACATTACAAGCATGTGAGATGTACTACATTCCATGCAGAAATTAAGCCTGAGGTATGGGTCTTGTCCTGAAGGAAGAGTGATAAGCTGATTCAGACTTTGTGACGGTCTGAAAGTCAGGTGACTGTTTTTGTGATGCTGAGAGGGGTGACCAAGTTCTGGTTAGGATCTGGCACAGGAGAGGCAGATTTCAAATTGACCTTTCACACGGCAGCTGGAGCTTGCCAGTGGAACTGATTCACTGCTGAATGGGGCCCACTGGGGGTGTATGAGAATGCAATGAGTATTTATAAAAATAGGGTGGTTGGAAGAACAGGGCAGTCTTGGGACATCTTTGAAGGGGACAAGGTGGAATGAGTATTTATATTTCAGGTGATACAGAATATGGCTGAAAAAACTCCATGAATCATACTCCTGGAAAATCTTTCTTAACTCTACTAGTTTTTATTATGATTATGTATGCCTTTTATGGCTGCTTCTGTAGCTTTAATGGATCAAACCTAAATTCTGTGTTTTCACAGCCGTATTACTTAGAATTTCTACCCAAATCCAATCTTCATGGCTCAGATCCATCCTTAAATACATGTAGGTCAAAATTTTGGAGTATGCTGCAGTAACTTCTTTAATAGAAAGTAGGGTTTAGTTCCAAATATCATCTTCACCAGCCCTACAACTGCAGTTAGGAACCAATTATTACTTGTGCTGTCTTGCAAAGTATTGCAAAAAGTAACATTGGAATGGTTATCAGTACCAACTAAGCACCAGGGAAAATGTCTACAATTTATGATAGCCTCTTTTCTCTGCTTCCCAGACCCATCAGGACCCAAAAATATGACTGTCAGTCATTTATGACTCTCAGTCATTTTTTATGTACCATTTGTCCAGCAAACAGTGAAGCATCTGGTCTGAAGGCTCGCTGATATCACAACTGGGGAATACTATGGTTTTCTTGCTTTGGAATATTATTTGAAAGCCTGGGTGCCAAGAAGGGGTGGGAATTATTAATGCATCTAACTTCACTTTCCCAGTTTTCTAGTTCAAGAGGGGGAATAAAACTTGTAGGTGATGTTGTGCACACCCCTTATTCAAAGGCAATATTTTTGCACGTTTCCAAGTTAATTTGTGTTTCTGTCCCAGGGGTAGCTTGTTTCAAGGCATTCCCATTATCTTGCTTGTCTCTGGCCTCCAAAGACCTTGGGACAGAAGACTTCTTTTGCTTTCTTCCACTGAACTGTGGCCATCAGCTGCAAACTCTTAACATTTCCTGTGATTTTGATTTTTCCCAGCAGCTCTGTATTTGCTTCAGTGCTTAGCATACTGCTCTGAGCAGTGACAGAAGTAATCAGTAGCTATCCAGCTTTCATAAAACAAAGTAGCATTTCTTCTTTTCTTTTTTTTTTTTTTAGAAAAAAGCATCAAGCATAAAATGTATTATAAAACAACACACAGTTTATACATCTCTAGCTTTTCAGACAGTTACTTTATGGAGACGTTGGTGGGAATAAAGCACTTCAGATCTTCCAGTGATTCCCATTCTTCTTGCACACTATCTAGTAACAGTTATTGGCTAAAACATTAATGAATATTAAATCAGGGCAGTAGGGTTTATTATTTGTTTGTTATTCAGGCCTCTTTTATGAAGTCAGACAGGTATTATACAATATCCCAAAAGACAGAAACTCTGAAAAGCTGGCTACATGCCTTGCATTTGCATTGAGAACCAGCATGAATGATTCCCCTATTATATTTTCATCCCTGCAGAAAAAAACTTATCCGACCCATTTGACCTGAAATACCATCCCTACAAACCCAAAGAGATGCACGTAACTTGTATTACATCAATACAGCAATCTTTGAATGTTCCTTATGTCCTTTTGTCAGAGGAGACAGTTTAATGTGGTAACTGGAACAGTGAAGGTTAATGTCCAAATTTTTAGATTTATCATTTCAAAGGTGCAATTTGTACGCTCAAATGTCACCTAAGCTTTGTAAATACATAGCTGGAGGCAAAAGATGTAGATGATTAGTTACTGAATATTTTGCAGCAAAACAGAAATATGAATTAGCCTATGATTTGTATATCCATTCATTTGTAAAAATAAAAGGCTATTGGCATAATAATTAAATTAATTATTTAATTTAAAGGCTATTGGCATAGTAATTAAATTCATTATTTTGCCCATTGGAAGAATGAAGGACTTGAGCAAACAGAGCCCTAAAAGTTCTGTTCTCACATGCCCTGTCCACAGTTCCTAACAAGTTTCATAATGGGTTTTGTCAGCATTAGTGCTACCTGTCATAACTACATAATTACAGCATCTAATTATATTATTACTTATTTACTCTAATTAGGTAATTGGATGTAATTGGTGCAATTACATAACTCCTCAATCAGCTGAAAACTGCTTTAAAACCAGCCTGTGTTCATAAGATTAAAGGATACTGCCATGCGTTAGACCATCTCCCTAAAGCAAGGCAATCTT